TTGCTCCTAGTAGTAAGGCCAGGAGCCCCTAGTAGCGAACTTGCTCCTAGTAGCGATGCCCTTTGCTCCTAGTAGCTTTTTGCTCCTAGTAGTAGGGCCAGGAGCCCCTGGTAGCTTAAAGGCCAAGGCTGCTGAGCCTAGGCGCGACGCATCTCCAAAACAGCCGCCTGCAGATCGCCACAAGCAACAAGTGACATGAGCCACACAAGATCAACATCGCCTGTCCAAAGCAACGCGTTTCATGGCTTCATTGTATTGCCCCAAGAGCTTTTTGGCCACACCTCACTCGAGCTTTTCATCGTCCAAAATGCAATCACGAAAGGCCCAATGATTCTAATGATAAATTTATTTCTTTCTTCTTTGTTGCTAATAGCGATGGCCTCCACCCTTGTAGCGATAGCCTCCGACCTACTGAGATGCTAGCTGAGCAAGTCTTTGAAGCTTTGCCTGAAGTGATTCATTGAAGCTTTGCTCAACAGCGAAAGCATGTTGTGAACAGCGAAACCCGACAGAACGAATCTGGGCACTTGACGTTGAATCTCCCTGCAAATGCAAAGGCCGACACGCTCGAGAAAAACAAAGGCTGGCAGAGTGGCCTCTCCCAAAATGAAGTCGGCGGGAAAGAGTTGAGGTGCACCTCTGAAAGTCTTGCGTAGCACAATAGGAACCTTTGTTCTTTAAGCCTGCGGAGGGTAGGCTAGGAGTATTAGGTAGCTAGTAGAGCTACTAGCTACTTGAGACTAGGATAGCTCACGCTTCAAGGAAGACCCCCCTCACCGCCCTAAAGGCGGCGGGGGGAAGCTTCCTTGAAGAAGCGCTTGCACTAAGATTTGGTTCCTAGATTTTTAGGGAAACTTAGCATCCTTGCTCCCAGTAGCTTCTTGCTCATAGTAGTAAGGCCAAGAGCCCCAAGTAGTGTCCTTGTTCCTAGGCCATTGGCCTCCTGCACCGGTCGAATAGTTCTCCAGGCCTGCAAGCACTTGTGGCTAAATGAAATCACCTGACAACTTCATCGGCCAAGTGACGTACAACTTCCTCTGCCAAAAGGTGGATCATAGCACTTGGCATTGCTTCATGCACCTGCTCAGTTCGAACCACCGACAACTAGCACTGGCCTCCAATCTAGAAGGAATGGCCTAGCTACTTGCTCCTAGTAGTACGGCCAGGAGCCCCTAGTAGCGTCCTTGCTCCCAGTAGCGGGGCCAGGAGCCCCTAATAGCTTCTTTGTTACTAGTGGCAAAAGTTCTGTTGCGATTCAGCCGGCCTCCATCATTTCATTGAGAGCATCATGGGGTTGGCTTTCTCGCGCGTTCACGACAGTGATATTCATTGTCCTGTATGCACGAAGTGATGCACTTGTTTCTACTAGCTTCTTGTTACTACTAGTAAGGCACCTGTTACTAGTAGCGATGCACTTGTTACTAATAGCTTCTTGTTATTTGATGTGTTCCTGTTTAGCTCTCTTTCTCCAAGGAACGTTTGATTGTGAAGGGTTTTGTAGCCAAAGCCAAACAAACGTCCAAGAACCGTTGCGCTGACTCTTCGCACGAGGTATGACTCTTCCACAATGACAACCTGCCGAGGTCTATGACTTGGAGGCAAATGCTTCGCTGCCCAATCCAAGAAGCGGTCCTTACCGTAGTGTCTGCAAGGTTCTGCAAAGAGCAAGCAGTGAGGTACTAGTAGCTTGCTCTCAGTAGCGATGCCCTTTGCTCCTAGTAGCTTCTTGCTACCATTAGTAATGCCAGGAGCTACTAGTAACTTCTTCTTCGGTGCCCCTTGCTCAAAACCACTGTGATTCCTAGGACGCTTCCTTCCAGAGACTCATGGCCTGAATTAATTCTCACCAACAAATAGCGCCTGCATGGACCCCAAATAGCAAAATATATTTGTGCACTTTTACAAAGCGGCGAGCATGTTTTTTTCTTTCTTAGTCTGACCTTTCCTTCCTTCTCTCCGTGTTTTTTCTCAGAAAACAGCTTGAGCCGAGACACGGTATTGAATCCCGTGTTGCCCACACAGCCGCACTTCATGCGAAGCTCTGGTGTTGGACACTCATTGCAACTGATCGCAGTAACTCGTCGAGTCGAACTCATAGCTGCGCCCTGTTCGCCCAGCTCTCCAGGGATTTCCATCAAAACCAACAGCTGCGCTAAGGTCGCATGTGCTTCTCCATTCAACTCGGCTGCTTGGATTGAGCTCAGTCGTCCCCGCCCACCCACCAGAAGGATGGGCGCGCTCCGATGCTTGGCCTTGAAAGGACGCAAGGTAACCAGGTTGTCCGAGCGTGAGCTATCCGTCCTAACTAGCTACCTGAATTCCTAACTGAGTAGGGGCTACTAGCTTCTGCTAGACCAAATGCTTCTGAGCTTCTGCTAGCTCGAGCACTTTCCGAATCTTGGAGGCCCGATCATACCAGTTGGAGAGAACCACAATCGCATCAATTCCGGAAACAGGTGCATCGGAGACTGTGCTCGTGCTTGGTGTACTGAGGAAACGAAAGATTTCTCGTGCTTTCTCCAATTCAGATTCGCTTGGTTGTGGCCCTCTGCAGGGATTTTCGCCTTGGCTGACTGCGCACAAGTTGCTGAACAGAAGCGCATATCAAAAAGAACATCACATCATCAAGTTGCATCACAATTCTATTAAAATTCTTTTTGTTACTAGTAGTAAGGCACTTGTTACTACTAGCGGTGCACTTGTTCCTAGTAGAAAGTTTTTTTTCTGCACAAGTTGCATCACATCACCAAGTTGCTGTCTTGGCTTTTTCGATAGTAACAAGGACGCTACTAGGGGCTCCTGGCATCGCTACTAGGAACAAGGGCCTTACTACTAGTAACAAGAAGCTATTAGAAACAAGAATTAAAAGTAATTAGAATTACATTAAAAAGAACAGTGTTCCTAGTAGAACCGTGGTTCTTTTCTGCACAAGTTGCTGTCTTGGCTTTTTCGAAAGTGCTCTCGAAGTCGTGACAGTTCTTTTCGCAATGCGTCTCTTTCGCTCCAGGATGCTAAATCTCCCACAGCCTCCGTGGCAGAGTGACCTCTCAAAGTGGCCATGTCATAGTCCGGATGCAAGACCCGAACCACCTAAGGCACAAGCAAAACCAGGCAGCTTGCTGAGAACGTTGATGTCATGTTGCTGTTGTCGTTACTTCACGCATTGCACTGGTGGGATCATATATTTTCTTAAAACTCTAGGAGCCAAATGACTAGTGCGAGCGTGAGCAATCCTGCGTCCTACCTATGAGCTAACTTAGCCCCTACTTAATTAAGTAGTAGGGGGGGTAGAGGACGCTACTAGGAGCAAAGGGCATCACTACTAGGAGCAAGGACGCTACTAGGGGCTCCTGGCCTTACTACTAGGAACAAGAAGCTATTAGAAACAAGAATTAGAATTAAAAAGTAGAATTAGAATTCAATTTAGTATTAATCAACAGAAAAACACCTTGTTGTCCTTGTGGTATTTGGTGGTTGAACTGCGCTCTGGGGTGGGGCTAGCAAGTTGCCGGCAAGTTTAGAGCAAACTGCGGTAGCGATGCCCTTTGCTCCTAGTGGCCTCTTGTTACTAGTAGCGATGTCAGGAGCTACTAGTAGCGTCCTTGCTCCTAGTAGTGATGCCCTTTGTTCCTAGTAGCGTCCTTGCTCCTAGTAGCGATGCCTTTTGCTCCTAGGAGCGTCCTGGTTAAAATTAAATTAAATCAAATTAAATTAGAATTAAATTTGAATTAACTTAGAATTAAATGAAATTAGATTAGAATTAAACTATATTAACTTAAATTAGAATTAAATTAGAATTAAATTAGAATTAAACTAAATTAAATTTGATTTCAATTCAACTGAAATAGAATTAAACCAAATTGAATTGGAATTAAATTAGAATTAAATAAGTTAGAATTGAATTAGATTAAATTAGAATTAATGTAAATTAAGTTAGAATTGAATTAGATTAAACTAGAATTAACAGATTTTAAATTAGAATTCAATTAGAATTAAATTCAATTAAATTAGAATTAGATTAAATTACATTAGAATTATCTTAGACTTAAATTAGAATTAAGTTAAATAAATTAGACTTACATTAAATTTGAATTAAGCTAAATACAATTAGAATTAAATTTTATTAGAATCAAATTAGACTTAAATTAGAATTAAATTAGAATTAAAATAAATTGGACTTAGTTTAAATTAGAATTAACATAAATTCGAATTAAATTAGAATTCAACTAAGTTAAATTTTAATTAACTTAAATTGAATTGGAATTAAATCAAATTACATTAGAATTAAATTAAATTGAATTGGAATTAAAGTATAATTAAATTAGAATTAAATTAAATTCAATTAGAATTAAATTAGAATTAACTTAAATTGAATTAAATTAGAATTAAAATAGAATTATACTATTAAATAGCTTCTTGTTACTACTAGTAAGGCACCTGTTACTAGTAGCGTGGCACTTGTTACTACTAGCTTCTTGCTCCTAGTAGTAATGCCCTTTGTTCCTAGTAGCGTCCTTGTTACTGGATGCAAAGTCATTCCTCAGCTTTGCACCAAAGAAAGCCTCTCTTGTGCTCCATCATCACTGTGCTCCACGCTGTGAAGGTAGCTGTCCTGGAAAACAGGCAACATCACTGTCCAGCCTAGTCGCTCTGAATGGCCAAAAGGTGGTGACAAAGGTTCCTCTGTGTCAATGTTAGCTTCCAACCTAAATGCCATGGCCATGTGAGGCTGGTCTTCTGTCCCCTCTTGCAGATGTTTGGTGGTGAAAAAGCAATCTCCTGGAAGCAAACGGCTTTCCCGGCTTCCAGTTCAACACGTTCCCCGGCAACCTAGCAAGCAAAAGGGTCTCCAAAAGCACATCAAACACAGATGCAGGAGACAAAACACAATTTGGACGACAATGATCCAAATACGTGGAAAACACACTGCTTATGATATGTGGCAAGTTTATGCAACATATATCATGCTATGTGTGCAACAAAACAACTCGAATACATGAACATGTGCAAAGTGTTGTAGAGAAATGTAAGACCTTTGCATGCTGATGTGTATTTTTGGTAAGGTCTCGTTGTGTCAGCCGGTAGGAACACGCCATTTCAAGCAGTGGAAATGCGGCGCCTGTATGCCAGTTGCTGGGAAAACCAAGGGAATAGCTAAGGGTTTTACTAGGCTTCAACTATGTTGACAAGGTAGCCTTTGAAGCACTACACTCAGCAGTTGTAAGACAGTAGCAAGACTCCACAACCAGCAAAAACAGGTAAATCTGATAGAAACGAAGGGGGGAGAAGGGTACCACTACGTCACTGCAAAGTGCCGGTGCCTCTCCATGCCGGACTCAGCTTCACGTCGTGATATCTCCAACCTACTAGTGATGGCCAACCTAGTAGCGTCCGATCGCTCCTAGTAGCGATGCCTGGAGCCCCTAGTAGCTTCTTGCTCCTAGTAGTAAGGCCAGGAGCCCCTAGTAGCGTCCTTCCTACTAGAAGCTTCTTGTTCCTAGTCGTAGTGCCAGGAGCTACTAGTAGCGTTCTTGCTCCTGGTAGCCATGCCCTTGTTGCTACTAGCGATGGCCTCCAATCCAATAGCGGTGGCCTCCAACCTCTATGCTTGCCTAATCTCCACGAGCTCGCCATGCAATCCGCCTTCTCTGCCCCGGGCCTTCCCAACACCCACCCTGTAGGCACCAGCGCGTTGCCGAAGTACCCTTTGGATTCCCAACACAATCCTCTTCTTTACACGCACGTCCGTTGTATCGGGCGAAGAACCAACAAAAGGTGTTTAACGCGTCAAAAAGAACTATTGGTCCATGATCTCGTTGTTGTAGAAGGAGAGATGCTCTCTGCCTCCTGGATTTGCTTCATTTCACTTGTTTTCGGCCACAGCATTGTGTTCGTGAACGTCGAGGAATGCAATGCTCAGGTCTGTGGCAGAGTTGTGTGTTGACCTAGTCGAACGGGCATTCAAGTTTTGTTGTATAGAAGATCTAATTTTGTCAGCGCTAATCATAGCGAATCACTGGCAGGGTTTCGGAAAATATGTTCCAATATATGGAATTTGTGTATCCGAAACCTGAAAAGCCAAGAAGGCGTCGTCCCTTGAAGTAGCTTGGGCTGAGTTTTGTTTGATTTTCATTGGTTGCTGTGATAGATGTGGTGGGTTGGGGGGGAGGGCATTGTGTCTCTGTGCGCATACATCAACACTGAAGGGGCAAAGAGCGACAAAAAACCCCTTGCAAGTATGTCGCTACTAGGGGCTCCTGGCATCGCTACTAGGAACAAGGGCCTTACTGCTAGGAACAAGAAGCTAGTAGAAACAATAAGTAGATAAATAGAAACAATAAGCTACTAGGAACAAGTGCATCGCTACTAGTAACAAGTGCCTTACTAGTAGTAACAAGAAGCTACTAGGAAACAATACGTAAATAAATAGAAACAATAAGCCAAGGAATGACACAATAATAGGAAACAATAAGTATGTTTTCTCAAATATGCAAGGTATGAAGGCCCGGCCGAGCCTGGCCACCCCGGCCCTTCACAAACGTTCCCGTCCACGAGCCACCGAATGGACAGAATGGCAACAAACAACTTGAAAACAATGCAAAGCTCCTAGTAGCGTCCTTGCTCCGTTCGTAGCGATGCCCTTTGTTCCTAGTAGCTTCTTGTTCCTAGTAGCGATGCTAGGAGCCCCTAGTAGCGTCCTTGCTCCTACCCCCCCGCGCGAGCGCGCGCGGGAAAAGGTCCTAGTAGATTTCTTTGCTAATTTGAATTCTAATTACACTTAATTCTAATTTAATTCTACTACTAGCGATGCACTTGTTCCTAGTAAGGCCCTTGTTCCCCTGGGCCTCCAAGTAAACGCCCTTTCCTCCTTTGAGCGTGAGGTGGATGTTGATCTGGTTGTTCACTGCGCCGGTGTGAGGACCAACGTATGCTCCACCCACTGAACGGAAAAGAATGATCTCCTCATTGTTACTAGAAGCGATGCACATGTTCCTAGTAGCTTCTTGCTCCTAGTAGTAAGGCCAAGAGCCCCTAGTAGCGTTCTTGTTCCTTGTAGCTTCTTGCTACTCCTAGTAAGGCACTTGTTACTAGTAGCGATGCACTTGTTACTAGAAGCGAAGCACTCCTCATTGTTTGGCATGACGTAAGGAAGGCCCGGCTTGGTTGGTATTTCTGGAAGAAGAAGCTGACATGTGAGCGGCATCACGGAGCACACTTCAGCGTTCCAGTTGTGGCCTCTGTAAAGGAAAAGGTTCTGCCAGGAACCGGCGGCGAATAAATAAGGGTATGCCTGGCCAAGGTGACCAAACCCGATGGTGCATTCCTCACCTCCACCTTACTAGCGATGGCCTTTGCACCTAATAGCATTCTTGTTCCTAGTAGTAATGCCAGGAGCCACTGGTAGCGTCCTTGCTCCTAGTAGCAATGCCCTTTGTTATGATTCTTTACACACAAACGGCATAAACTGTTTCAGGCCTTTTGAAGTTGTGGGGCTGCAGACACTGCTTCAGTCAGGATCCGCCCGAATTGAGCTTCCAAATGCTTCACAAACGGCCAGGCCTCACAAGGAAGTCGCTGCATGTTTGAGGGGTCTGTGAAATGAATTCACGCTACTAGGTTGGAGGCAATCGATATTAGGTTGGAGGCCATCGCTACGAGTAACAAGGTTTTTGTTCATGTATCAGTTTGTCACATCCAAGAACCCTTGAAACACATTTGATCAAAGGCGATCCGAGGCAAACACCGTGCATCGAGAAGCATTTCATGAATCGGAAGAAGCGATCGCTAAGCGAAGCATGTGACGCGTCACAGTGTGAACTGCCATGTGGCGAAACCTAATAGCGGTGGCCTCCAACCTGATAGCGATGGCCTCCAGAAGCTTTTCCCTTATAACAAGACTTTCTTTCTTACACGTCTATAGTTAAGTTTTATCAAAAATCCAGGAACCACATGATTAGTGCGAGTATCTTGCGTCCAGTAGCATGTTTACTCTCGTACTTAATGAAGTAGGCGCCTACTCGATAGGAGCGGGCTTAAGAAACAGAAAACACATCTCTAGAGCTTTGAATCCTCTTGCGCTTCGTGCTGATCGCCTGGTGACAGGACCAGAAGGGTTGCCTTGACAAGCCACGCACCCATACAGTTGGCGTCTCCAGCACTGAAGGCCATGGGATGGCTGCCTAGCTTGGCTGCGAAAGCTTCCTGTTCCTACTAGCAAACATTGTTCCTAGTAGTAAGGCACTTGTTCCTAGTAGCTATATCAATGCAAATAGACTTTACACGTCACAAAAAAGGCACACACGAAACAGGAACCAAAGTCGATGTGAGAACTGGCCTCTTCCTCCGGTAGAACTTCTGGAAAAACTCTGGTGGAACCACGAAAGACACTACGAGCGCGTTTCCATGCGCTCAACGCGCCGTCTCGTTCACCTTGGCACGTGGGATGCAAAGGGCGAGCGAACCGTCAAAGAGAGAAAGAGAGAGCACTTCTATGCAACATAGCGAGGAAACCTAGAAGCGATGGCCTCCACCCTAAGAGTGATGGCCTCCAACCTAAAAGCCTATGCAAAAGGCGAGAACCCACACGCCCCTTTTCGTAGTGAGGAAGCATTGCTGCCGTTATCCCCCAACAGCTTCAGCTCTGAGATCTTGCAATGTTGTCTCAAAGTGAGGATGTAGAGAGTGACACGCAAGGAAACAATGACAAGGGCCTTAATCATTTTGTGGCATTGTACATTCTGCATTGAAATGGTTAGAAGATTAAGAAGGCCAGTCACAATTTTCTATAAAAGATGGAAGAAGGCCAGTCACAAGCGGGAAGACATGTGGGAGGCAAGGTAGGAGACAAGATAAGTTGGGAGACACCTGTATGCTTGGGCAAAACAGGGGCTGCTCATATTGGAACAGGGCAGTTTCTATGACAGCTTTGAACCCCAGCAAAGTAGGCAGGCATGGGAGACATGTGGGGAGCCAGAGGACAACAAAGGACAAGAAAAAAGGATGATCAGCTGCTGCCTTTCATCTCCTTTCAGATGATCTCCTGCTCCATTCATCTCAGCCGGGCTGGACATATTTGCTTTTACCTGGAGGCCATCGCTATTAGTTTGAAGGCCATTGCCATTAGAACCAAAGAAAACGACAACGACCAACAGTAATATAGTGGTCTTCGGTTCCCGAACGCTGTTTTGACATCTGTGTCGAAGAAGAACCCCCCTACCATTATGCAAACCATCTATCCCATTCCATCCCTCACTTTATGCTCTTCTAGCATCGAAAATACCAAGGAAAGAAAGGAGCAAACAAGATAAAGCCCACCAAACATAATGCAACACCATTTTAATGTCTCAGATTCTGTCTGTGATGCTCTTGTGTAGGAAACTCTTTTGTGGGACAATCTTGGTTGATGCCCTTCGCTAGTAGTAACAAGGGCATGGCTACTAGGAGCCAGGACGCTACTAGGGGCTCCTGGCCTTACTACTAGGAACAAGGTTCGCTACTAGGAACAAGTGCATCGCTACTAGGAGCCACAAGGCCGATCCTGTCGGACGCTCTTGCTTGACACTCTTGTTTCTACTAGCAAACATTGTTCCTAGTAGTAAGGCACTTGTTCCTAGTAGCGATGCACTTGTTACTAGTAGCTTACGAAAACGCTTCTTTCAAGGACACACACTTGTGTACAACGCTCTTGCCTCCAACCTATACTCTTATCGTTTTCTCAGGCGGTGGGCTCTGTGTACAAGAAATCTGAATTTTCCAGCTTTCTGTGAGTGTGAAAGCATCCTTTGTCGAAAGTCAACAAATGTAATCTTTTCCTTTCATTTCCTTTCATTTCGTTCTCATTTCCTTTCAATTTCCTTCAAAAGGTGATTGCTCAAAACCTGTCATGTGGGTACCCTCCCAAGCGCTCGCATCTTTTTCGTATCATTATCGTTTTTGTTATCGTTTTGTTAGAAGCAATGGCCTCCAACAAACATGCTGTACAACACTCTTGTGCACACTTGCCATTTGCACGACGTGACACAACAAGACACCACGCAGACTGCGAACAAGAAGGTCTGAAGGTCTACAAAAGCAAGAATGCAACCCAACTTCCAACCTAGAAGCGATGGCCTCCAACCTAGAAGGCCTGCAACCTAATAGCGATGGCCTCCAAGTGCAAGAAGCATCAGTGTCAGCTCAGGCACCTGTGCTGAAAAGCTTTTGAATGGCCTTGCCACGGCAAATCGCGAGCGACAAAGATTGGACATCGTCCCCAACTGCAGACAGCAGACAGCAAAACATACCGCTACTAGGAGCAAGGACGCTACTAGGAGCAAAGGGCATCACTACTAGGAACAAGTGCATCGCTACTAGTAACAAGAAGCTACTAGTCTAGAGTCTCTGAGAGTCTACAAAAACTGCATTTCGATTGACTGCGTGCAGGCTACGATTTTGTACATCTTCTGTGGGCATCTGGTTTGAAGTTCGTCTTGTATCTTCAACTCAACCAAGCATGCCGGAAGCAACGCCACAGACCTGAGAGAAAGAAAGGAACGCGTCTTTCTTTTTAGCCCGCTCCGCCTCCTCCCTACTCAATGAAGTAAGGGACAACCAGCTAGTAGCTTACTTAAGCTACTACCTTGGGGGGACGCAGGACAGCTCGCGCTTCTTCAAGGAAGCCCCCCACGCCACCCTAAAGGCGGCGGGAGAAGCTTCCTTGAAGCGCTCGCACTGATTTGGGAAACTTGAGATTTGGAGCTCAAGATGCTTAAGCTATTAGGGCCAGGGTGGAGGCTATCGCTTGTGGAGGCCATTGCTATACGGTCTTCGGTCCGTCTTCGGTTCCCGAGCGCTTAAGGGAAGCAACTCCAGCACGGCAGCTGCCACTGCGTAGTTCTTCCCCAGATTCGGCAAATCCGCTGCCCAGCTGGCATAGCTGCCTTAGAATTAACACAAATACAACGACACAAATACGCAGTCGAAAGCTTTGTGTACTACGTAGAACTTATTGCAAGTAGTGCGTATACATGTACAAACAGATATATGCATGTATAGGAATAGTAATATGTATATAGGTATAGGGTATATGTGTAAGTGCGAAGGTTGGGAAGGCAATCGGAGCCAAGCAATTGCTTAACACGATTTTTGATCGAACAGCTCTGACTTCGAAGGAACACCTATGTGGCAACTTGACTGCGTCGTTTGTAACTGCGCAGACCGGGTTCACATTGTGCTTTACAAGCCACAAGACGAGGCTGTCTCGGTCTGTGCCACCGAAGTGAACCCCAAACTCGGGGGAAGATGTTGCGTTTGGAAAAACGGATTGGAGCAAGGACGCTACTAGGAACAAGTGCCACGCTACTAGTAACAAGTGCCTTACTAGTAGTAACAAGAAGCTACTAGGGGCTCCTGGCAAGTGAATGCGTTTGGGTCAAGTGAATCCTGAACGCTTCGATGGAAGATTTGCGGTTCCGGTGGAAGCTCTTCGACCTTCTCCAAAGCCCTGAGGTGTTTTCACGGTGAGACTCACCTTTACACCGCGTGAAAAAACTGAGACCGGGAGATACTTCACTCGGAGCCATCGCTAGTGGGTTGGAGGCCATTCACCGGTGCATCGCTTAGCTTTGAACAAAAAGAGATGGCCCCTAGTAGCGAACTTGTTCCTAGTAGCGATGCCCTTTGCTCCTAGTAGCTTCTTGTTCCTAGTAGCGATGCCAGGAGCCCTAGTAGCTTCTTGTTACTAGGTATTTCTCTGTCTGGCCACTGGCAGTTTCAAATGTGACATTCTGGAGGAACCTGCGGATGACCAGTGCCGGTTCCTCTGAATCCTGGGCATGAAAACAAGGCCGAAATGCTTTATGAATCCTTATGTTATGTCCATTTTCTTTCTTCATCTAGTCTTTAGACCTGTAGAATCCTTTAGACATTTCTCTTATCTTATCCTTCTTTCTTGCTTTCTTCTAGTTACTAAGAAGCTTCAAAGACCTAAACAGCTTTATTGTTAAAGGTGAAACGATTCCCAGTGAAACGATTCCTTCTGTTTGCTCACAACTTCACAAGACAGGATGGATAATTTTCGTCCATGATAATCGTTGGTCCTCCCAGGGGCGTCGCCGGTTGGCGAAACCTGTCAGTTTTCGTCAAACCTCGACGCTCGCCTGCCACGTCGCTGCCCAGTCATCCAGCTGACGGTGAATCTCTGTGGCCTGCACTCAGTGCCTAGTAGCTTCTTGTTCCTAGTAGTAAGGCCAGGAGCCCCTAGTAGCGTCTTTGCTCCTAGTAGCGATGCCAGGAGCCCCTAGTAGCTTCTTGTTACTAGCTCTTGGTTTCAAGAAGTCGTCACTTTCAAATGCACATGGATTCTATTTTGGGGGTAGGCCGCTAAGAGGGAGGAGGTAGCTAGTACCTTACTAGTACGCTACGACATGCATTATTCATTTGGTTCCTAGATTTTTTAGGGAAACTTTAACCTCCAACCTAATAGCAATAGCCTCGAACCTAAGAGCGGCCTGCCCTAATTTGTTCATTGACCTTTCATTGAAACTCTTGGAAGAACTGGCTCCTGAATCGTCACCGCGGCCAAGAGGGCAAAGATTAGCATGCGACAGAACGATTTCTTCGGTGCAGAATGAGGTCTAAGTCGAAGCATGAAAGCCCCTAGTAGCTTCTTACTCCTGGTAGTAAGGCCAGGAGCCCCTAGTAGCGTCTTTGCTCCTAGTAGCGATGCCAAGAGCCCCTAGTAGCTTCTTGTTACTAGCTTGTTTGCCTCCAAAACTGGCGTATGAGGCCACGCAATCAATCAAATTGCATGCAGCGTTGTTGTTCCAAATCCAGCTTGCGCAATCATGCTCGAGAATGACTTTTGCAGCGCAAAGTAAAGATCAAGTAAAGGCAACACCCAAGAAATCAAATAATGCACACGATCTAAAGGACGCCACTAGGGGCTCCTGGCCGTACTACTAGGAGCAAGGACGCATCTTTTTCGGCTCACGGCCGTAACGTGCCACCTCACTTTCGTTGGGGGATGGGCAACCAATTCTGCCTCTCAAGGTCCTGTCATGACAACCAAAGCAGAAAGGAAGTGAAACGTTGTGCGGTACTTTTCGCATGCCCCCATTGTGCCAAACAAACAGCGATACTTACTAAGCCGCCAGAGATGCCGGCATGCTGGACATCTTCAGCTGTTTCCTTCGCGGCAATACTCTGCCTAGGACACACGCCAGGTGCCACTAGGCCCTACTATGCCCTACTAGGCCTTACCTAGGCCTCCAACTAAAGTTGGTTCATTTCACACGTCATCATTCGATTGGCAAATATAGTTTGCTACTAGGTTGGAGGTTAGAATTGCAAATAAAGGAGGTTGAGATGAGCCAAGAGAATCTAGAACAGACACGATATTGAGAGACAAACATGAGTTTCAATTAAGTTCAAGAAGGAACACCACCCCCAAAAAGGGAAGGAGAAAGAGAGCCTTGACTTTCCCACTGAGAATGCACGAGGTTCAAATCAGTGAGCAAAAAAGGTAGCAACACAGAAAACAAGAATAAAGACAACGGAAGATCACAAGAGCTGTGGTGAAAACACTGTGCTGTTGCAAACATGCCATCCCTTGCACCAACTGCAGCATTCATACTAGAAACAACTGTACTGGCTTGTGGCAACTTTATTGATTCTGTGAATAGATGAGTTCCTGGATCATGAGCAGGGCTCACAACAAAGAAAGGTTTGGCAAGTAAAAGGTGAACAGTTCAGGTACAAGGTTTGGTACACGGTATCATTTTAGAAAGAAAAGGAAAACAGGTTTAATATTAGGTTGGAGGCCATCGCTGGTAGTAACAAGGGCATGGCTACTAGGAGCCAGGACGCTACTAGGGGCTCCTGGCCTTACTACTAGGAACAAGAAGCTACTAGGAGCAAAGGGCATCGCTACTGGTAGCAAGAAGCTATTAGGTTGGAGGCCATCGCTAAGAAGATGCCCTTCTCTCTGAGTTCTCACAGTTACACAGTTTTGCTATTCATGTGACTCGTCAGCAATAAAGCCATGGAACAGCAAGGTGTTGCAAGAATGGTTGAGCAAACTGCTGTTAAACCTACATCCGAAAAACAATCGCTCAAAAGCAGTGCTTGTTGTATACTAGGTAAAATGGTTTCATTCTCCACTTAATGAGAAAAAGGTTGTGACAACAAACATGCGCAGCTCTTGGAGGTTGTGAGGAACAAAGCAGGACGTCTTCTTTGCTTAAAAAGCTATTAATTAGGTTCCTTGTGCTATTAGGTTGGAGGCCATCGCAATTAGAACGTCTTCTTCACTTAAAAGATGAGCCCCTAGTAGCTTCTTGTTACTAGTAGCGTCTTTGCTCCTAGTAGTAAGGCCAGGAGCCCCTAGTAGCGTCCTTGCTCCTAGCAGCGATGCCAGGAGCCCCTAGTGCCAATAAAGCTCCCTTGGTTCCGTTTGCTACAAGGTTCCTTTTCCTGTTTTGTCAAACCAACTAAGCCGAGGCTTCTGAGGCTTCAGCAAGCGCTTCCACCCGGGCAAGAAGTCCTTGAAACTTCACCTGAAAGAACGATGCAAGTCAGGGCATTTCGCAGCTCATGCAAATGGAACCTAATAGCGATGGCCTCCAACCTAGAAGCGATGGCCTCCAGCCTAATACCTAAACATGCTTGCAAGACTTGCACATATACGCAGCAAGAATGGGCCTGTTCGTCGTCATTCTCGTCCTGCGAACACACAAAAGCTGCAATGAGTCAACGAGTGACTTCAGAGCTCAATTGGTGTGCCAGTTGAACGCTGGCCGAGCAAGGTGCGATTCTTAGCATAGCTCAAATGCCAATCAACGCAGTGCCATCGATGGCCTTCATATAGCAAAGGAAACCTACTAGTGATGGCCTCCAACCTAAGAGCGATGTTATCAGAGAGTATTGAAGTATGAATGCCCATGGCAAATCCGATGGCAACACTCATGCCTCCTCGCTTCATGCAGCAGTACTGTTGGCATATCATGTCTATGGCAATGCGAAGGAGTTGTTATGCATCCGCTGCAAGCATTTGTGCCACAAGTATCGATGCCACCAGTTCAGTTGATGCAAACAGTGCTGGTCAGCACTTAATCACAAGCAATTCCAGTTTAGCATTTGCAAACATTTTCGATAAGAATCCATATGCTTCTTCGACATCGAGTTCAATGTCTGCTCAAAGAAGGCGAGCTCCACACACGGGCTACAAAAGAAGACAGCGATGGTCTCCAACCTACTAGCAAAAAGGAACCTAATTTAATAGGAGTGGCCTCCAACCTAGTAGCTTCTTGCTACTAGTAGTAATGGCCTGCACCCTACTAGGGATGGCCTCCACCCTAGTAGCAAAAGGAACCTAATAGCGACGTCGCACTTAATGTCGCTCTGGCTACCAAAGGCGGTTATGTTGATGGCTCTGGCTGGGGCCTAATAGTAGCTTTAATATTACTAGTAGCGATGGCCTCCAACCTAATAGCGATGGCTTCCCACCTAGTAGCTTCTGTTACTGTACTAGAAAGCTTCTAGTTACTAAGAAGCTTAAAAGGCATACTAAAAGCTTTCTTATTACTAGTAGTATTGTACTTTGAGCAACTTTTTGCATGTTTAGAGCCTTAACCCTTTCCCTATCAGCTCGCCGGGTGGCGGTTACGGCCATCCCTGGGTCTTGATGCAACATGCTTGACAACCTTCTCAAGAAGCCTGACACTACTGATTCACTAATGCTCTCATACCAGCTGGTATTCTGTATCCTTTTGCAGTAGGTATTAAATGCTACGTCGTTTTTTGGCTTGCATGTTGCACCAAATGGCTAAATAACCGAGATATGTTCTCACACGTGGTCTGGCATCAGCACAAGTAGATGTGGCCGTTAAAACCAACTCATTAGCGACGCTACTAGGGGCTCCTCGCCTTACTACTAGGAGCAATGTTCGCTACTAGGAGCAAAGGGCATCGCTACTAGGAGCAAGGATGCTACTAGGGGCTCCTGGCATTAGCGTGAGCTATCCTGCGTCCTTATGGAGTGGCGTCCAGTAGCTTGGAGCTCACTCCATTACTCAACTATGTAGGTGCATACTAATAGCTTTTAATTTGAATAGCTTCTTGTTACTAGTAGTAAGGCACTTGTTACTAGTAGCGATGCACTTGTTCCTAGTAGCGTCCTTGCTCTGGTGCATACTTGCTCAAGTAAGGCTGGGCTTCTATTGTTTCTTTGTTTCTAATAGCAATGGCCTCCAACCCTCTGGCGATGGCCTCCAACCTACTGGCGATGGCCTCTAAGCTACTGGCGACTTTTCCTGG